AAAGATGATCCCTGCTAATAACCTAAGCAATAGTTGTGAGAGTTCCTGAACTGGCCCTGCCCTGTAGTCAGGTTGATTCTTATCTTAAATATCATCCTAGAACCTTTATCCAACAACTGACGGAAAGAGAGGCAGATATTCACAGCAGAGCATTGGACTCCCAAAGTCCTGTCAAAGAGTGGGAGTAGTGAAAAAATGTGCAAATGGGACAAGACCATGATGGGGATACCCACTGAAACACCTTACCTGAGTAAATGGGTACCAACCAACTTCAACTTTCCAGGGAAGGAGCTAGCATAAGACCAAATTAGTCTCTCTGAATGTTGGTAACAGTTGTATGGCTGGTGCAGACTGTGGTACCACTGGCAGTGGGACCAGAATTTATCCCTTCTGCTTGTACTGGCTTTTTGCAACCCGTTCCCTTCTAAGGGATACCTTGCTCAACCTAGATATAGTGGGGAGGGCTTTGGCCCTTCCTCAAAGCAATGTGCTACACTTTGTTGACTCCCCATGAAAAGCCTTACCCTCACTAATGACTGAAAGGGGCTGGGTTGGGGGAAAAGGTAGAGGGAACAGGAAAAGGGAAGGGAGTGAGTACTGAGATTGGTATGTAAAACGAGGAAATATAGTTTTTTAAAAAACATAAAATAAAAATGCTCCTGGTCAGAAAATGATTACAAATATACAATAAAGACAGATTCTGACAAAAATAACTTTCTGAACTGGACACAGTGTTTTTTAAAAGATGTATGTAGATGGGAGATAGATGAAAATGAGAATAGAAAAAAACAAAACCAAGTAATATAAAAGACTACAGAGAGTCATAGATTTAGGTTGTAAAGAAAAATAAGTAACATAAAGATGGAATACATGTAAAGAGTCTGGGTTATGGATGTTTTTGTGTTTTCCTTTTTTTTTTATTGCGGAGACACATTTCATTCTGGGGTTCACTAAGCTTAACAAACAAAAATATTTTGACCTCCAAATTTGAGTCTAAAAATATGTTACTTTGGAAAAGAGGTTCTGCTTTTGTTTGCACAGAGGATGAAAACCTGTGAATGTGTTCCAACCTAATGTGACTTGATGGAGTAAGATCCACTGAAAGGTCTCCCTGAACAGTAAAAATACTTTGACCAACCAACATCAGGAAGAAGTCTGGAGAAAACAACACTAAAATTCCCAAAATGGTTGTTTATAAATGTTTGTTTTCATTTAAAGAGGATTGATTATAAGTGATAAATGGTCATAGTTAATTTCTAAAAGACAAAGAAAATATAAGGAGCACATGACATGGAGATGAATTGCTTACATTGCTATGGATCTTGGACTATTGATGTTATTAAATTGTTTATGTGTTTTTTACTTTTGTTTTATGTATTATGTTTACACAGCTAATTTGAAAATATAAAGTATTAATTAAAATTATAGATAAAAAGAAAGTCATTTATAATAATCAAGGTTTTAGTTAGGTTTTCTGGATATACAGAGATACACTTCAGTTTGATGAATAATCTTCATCTTCAAAGATGTACATAAAATGGTATCTAAAAAGTTTTAAGAACTTAGACTTTTCTTGATAACCCTCAGGAATGTTAAAAGGGAATTTTATCATAAAAACACGAAATGTAACACTAATTTGTCCCTATTCTCATTTCCAAGTTGATGCCTTTAATAAATGGTAATTTCTTTCTAGGTACCATTAAGCTATTTATGCTAAAATCTCATTATCATTCCCTGGATCATATTCATTTCAAGGTTTTGAGATGATGTACCATGCAGGAACAAGGAATTTCAAAGGGCATATGGGAGTCTTAAAACTAAATTTAAAATAAAATTAAAAAGTGTGGAATTATATCCTCATTCACCATATATGCATTATATTTTAAATTTAATTTTTTTAAAATGTAGATATCTGTGAGAAATCTGCCAAGGATAGATTTTGGACACCATATAATTTGCTGAAGTGTTATGAAAGAATCCTTTGCTTGATTATGGAAGGGTCCCCAATCTACTTTGATATGGGGAGAAGGCATGTTTGTGGTTTTCACAGAATGAAATGAAGCTCACAGATGCAGTATGTGGAGCTGAGATATTCTGATCCTAAAATTGCCAATGATAATTCAGAAAAGTCAGAGTGAGACATATTTGACCTATGCTCCTGGTACACTGATCTTGCTGTTTGGGAAAAAAAGAAATTGTGGTCACAGTCAAGGATATATGATTTTTAAATTGATCTGCCACTGCAGAGTTCCTGATTGCTCAAAAAATTTTTTTATGTTTGGCATGACAGAAATTCCTTTATTTTGAAAGAATATTGCCTTGGTGGGATTTCTTGGAGTATTTCCAATACTAATAACCGTGTATGATGCTGGGCGGTGGTGGTGCACGCCTTTAATCCCAGCACTTGGGAGGCAGAGGCAGGCGGACCTCTGTGAGTTCGAGACCAGCCTGGGCTACAAGAGCTAGTTCCAGGACAGGCTCCAAAACCACAGAGAAACCCTGTCTCGAAAAAACCAAAAAAAAAAAAAAAAAAGTAATCGTGTATGATAAGCAATTTACATATTATAATAAGTTATTGCTTCCTCAAGGTAATTGGGTAGATGATACTACACACCCCTCAATGATTTTCTCCATGCATGAAAGAATTGCTTGAGTCTAATAGGACTTTGTAATGAAAATGAGGTACCGACATTACCCAATTGAAGTACAACATCACAGGGACATCACAGCACATTCTTGACTGGTCAATATTTTCAGGCTCCACCTTGATAATAATTCCTTTTGTCTTGGTGGCTCTACTTTTGTCTTCACCAGCCGCCATTCCAGACTCCACTGTGCCTTTTCTGTTTCCAGTAGTTGAAGCTAAATCACAGGTGCCTGGCTGGCATCTTCTCTGTATTTGTTTGTGCAGAAAATGTTTTGGAAGAATCCTTTTCACCACGTTCCACTTTGATGTTACCATCTTTGCCATCTCTAATATCTACTATTCCGTGGTAAGCTCTTGCAGTACTGTGGTATGAATGTCTGTTAGTGCAGGTCAGCACATGCTCATCTAGTAACTTTTCACAGCTGAAGCCAAATCCACAAATATCACATTATGATAAAACTATGCCCATGTTCTTTTGGAGTAGATTATTTAGACATAGAACTTTATTTATACACATCAAATATTGGCTCAGAAAATTAGCTTAATGTATGAATCAGAAAAATTATCTAACTGTAGAGATTTTTAGTTGGGCTCTCTATTATGTGGTGTATGCAGTATCGAACTGAGCTCTGCACACCACCTGCTGGCTTCAGTGCCATTTTCAGCCATGGTGTCTTCATACACTCCAAAGATCATCTTGCTGTTCTGTTTCCTTGAAGCAGAAGACTAACACTTTGAACTAGAACAATCTGCATCCTGTAAGTCTTCCAAGCAGTCAGGCAGCTGAAGAAGGTGGTTCATTGCCACTTTGAATTGCTCAAAACTGGGATGAGCTGTCATACTCTTTCCTAAAACACATGAACTACAAAATGAGATCAAGACACTCAGCGCTTATTTTCGTGTTGATGCGATTCAGCTGTGCAGTACTGTGCTGATGGTTCATTAAGAACATTCTAAATAAAATAGGAGCTACAGACAGCCAAGACCGCTTTGTGTGCCTGGAAATAAATGTCATCGATAGCAATCCAGCAGTCACAGAGGTCTCTCTGGTTGTTAGCTGCTGTGGCCAGAAGAGGGCACTAGACCTTACTCCAGATGGTTGTGAGCCATCATGTGGTTGCCGGGAATTGAACTCATGACCTTTGGAAGAGCAGGCAATATTCTTAACCACTGAGCCATCTCTCCAGCAACAGACGTACCACTTTTGAACTGTGCTGAGGAGAGGGAGTGGGAAAGAGCCAATCAGAAATATGCGTGGCCCAGCAGCCTCCTCCCACGACCACGCCCACGTCGGCGGCCTCAGGCTCCCGGAAGTTCCCTTCCCACCGACTGCTCTGCAACAGCAGGAAGTTACCTAAGCGTGCTCCTGGCCTGTCAATCAACCGCGGCCTCCCGCCTCCACTTTCTTGCCTCGTTTCCCAAAATAAAGGGACAAATAAGTAATTTGGGAAATCGTCTGGAGAGGGGATTCGTCCCGGATACGGGGAGGCCACGGGCTGCACAGTCCACGCCAGGCCTTCGGTCGTGCCCGGGTCAAAGTTGCGCAAATCTCCCCGACGACTGGCATCTATCTACTCACCCGGGCCTTGGGGCGAGCGGCGGGCAAGCGGAGGCGAGGGGCTGGGTTGTGCGGAGACACTCCGGCTGTGCCAGGGACAGCGCTGCAACAAAGGACTTCTGCTGCTGCACAGCCGCCCCTGTCGCAAGGCACTTAGCTGGCGCGCTTACATGGCGACTCCGAGTCTGCCCACCAGTTCGCGGCGGCGTCCACCAGCCTTCCCCACCGTCTCGCCCGCCCAACCACTCCGTGGCTGCCGGCCAGAAGCTCCCGCGGTCGCCTGTTGATTGCAACAACTTTCTGACACTGGCACTGCCTGCAAAGGCGCGGGCGCCCTGGCGGAGGCTGGAGCAGCACTCTCGCCCATCTACCCTGGGTCGCCTTGGCGCTCCTCAGCTGGACGCCACTGGGATCCTCCTGACTCCCCAGGGCTGGATGCTGCTCTCTCCGTGCTCAGTGATCAGACCCCTGTCCCTCAGGGCCCAGCACTTGGACCCGCCGCCACGCTCCACCCTGGACACTCTGGGGACGCTGACACCGTTGTACCCTCTGCTTGCAGCTCGCCTGGTCATGGTCTCCTTTTCCTCGCGCCCCTCCGCCCCTCCTTGCGGGAGCCTTTGGCCTGTGGCCTGAGTCACTTCCCCTGCCACGCTCCGCCAGGCCCACCTCCTGCCCTGGCTCCCTCCTTGCAAGGCCACCTGCCCAGTGCCCTCACCAAGACATCTTGTTGAAATCTGGTTCCTGCTTTTCTTTCTTGATTTTTAGAAAGTACACGTGACAACCAGGAAAAAAAAAAGCACCGTTAGATCATCTTACTTCAGCATGAAACCACAGAACAAATATCCCCCTTTTGTGTCCTTAAATCTCTGCTGGACATCCTTCCACAAGTGTGACAAGGAATTACTCTATTCACAAAGTATAGTGGGCTGTGCAAAATGGTTAGCCACCTAGATTCCAGAAGGAAGGAAGAAGAAGTGCCTACAGGAAGATAGTAGGATCTGCTATTGGATCCAATGGCAAGTGTTATTGAAATGCACATCTCTGCTGATTTAGAAAAGGTCTTTGCCTGATTTATAAAGCAGGGTCAGGAAACATTGTGCTGTGTCTTTAAGAACAGGCTAACCCTATGGGAGGTGCACTTGTCACTCAGGTATCACTAGCCAATCAGGCCCTCCAGGTAACTTGCCAGTCAGAAGTGGTGGCAGGGCCTTTCCTGGTTCCGGCTTGGCAGTGAAGTGAAAGTGGAGCCAGTCGCTTGTGCTGTTCAACTAAAAATCCTCCAGGAAACTGCATGGAGCGCTTGGGAAAGCAAGGAAACCGCGACGTGGTGAGTGAGGGGCTGCTGTCTCTGGACTGGGAGGAACAGATGGTGAGGTGCGGGAATCAGTGAGGTGGTTCCTCTCCAGTTCTGCTTGAGAAACTGCAGCCAGATTCCCAACCTTTCAAGTTCAGTGCGGTGCCTGCAACTCCCTGAATAGGGCAGGCCTCTGAATAATTTTGCACTGTGGGCTGAATCTGCTCAGAGCATTGGGAGCAGGGAGCTGTGTGGAGAAACCTCTTTCTAGGTAACATCATCATACTTTTAGTGCGTTCATGAAAAGCAGGTTGCCAAACTCATGGAGGTCTAGTTTCTCTAGTATCTTCTAGATGTTAAGCACTGTGCATTTTACCTTCATGTTAATTTTATGGAGGTTATAAAATCTTCTATATGTTAGGTAGCCCTCCACTTCTATGCCGTGATGTAGAAGAGTAGAATTGCTAATATAAAGGATTTACCAATGCTTAGAAAATATTAAGTCGCAAAAAGTAGAATTTATCACAGGTAGGACTGTCTCTAAAACACATAAAATTATACGTGTATGCTTGTTGGGCCTCATGAGGCCTGGGCTTGAGGCCCAGTGTAATTTCCTGAGCCAAACTTGAGTTGGCCTGAGGCCTAGTGTAACTTGCTGAGCCTATCTAGAGTATGAAGACCTGTCTCTGCCTAGCTACCTTTAACGTGGCATAGTATTATTGGCCCTAGTTTCTTACTCCTCCTTGGCCCATCCTAGGCTTCTCCCCCACCATCACAACCCATATAAGTCCCTGCTTGATACCAATAAGGGAGTTTCTGCTTTGACACACTCCCAACTCAGTGGGTGTGTTTCTCCTTGGTGGCCATGTTGGGAGGATGGTTGAGTTTTGACTATCATTCCTTTCAGCTCCACAGAGAGTCTGGCAGTTCCCGCTCTGCCCCAGCTCTTTCTGCAGGAGAACCCTGTAGATTGGTGGCCAGGGTAAGGAAGCTCTATCCTGTCAGGAGCTCTTTCTGCCAGAGAACAGGGCATGTGATGACCAGGCCTGTTAGAGATTAGGATACTACATGTTGAATAAACAGGATTTTTCAGACATTTGGCTCCAAACCTTTACAAAGAATCCTTCCCTGGTTTACAACCAGACCATATGCATACCAAAGAACAGGCCTATAACAAGCTGCTCAAGGGGGCATAACAGGGTCACAACCAACCTTAAGGCTTGATGTGCCATTCAAGTTTCATTTTCTCTTAGAGAAAAGCATAGTTCTGCCTGATGGGTAATATGACACCAGGTGACAGCTGTTTGAAAAATAAAACACTGTTGTGTTAAGGACTGGCCTGATCCACTAAGGATTTTATTTAGGTCCTCCAGCAGGGTGGAGGGACATTTTTGGGAGAGAGAATAACAGCCTGGGACCTAGGCTTTGGAAGCTTTCCTAGGGTCTTTATGTATTGACAGTTGAACATAGCTCCTTTGGTAAACACCTTGGGTCAGGGCCTTTGTGGAAATTTTGCTGTAGATCCTGAGAACCCATCAGAGCTATGGTTGTCAATCCCAAGGCCTTTTGATTTTAATAATAATCACTTAAGACCCCATATTCCCCTTGTGTAGCATTGTTTTATTAGCCTTCCCTTGAATTTGTACTAAGTGTGAGGGTTTCTACTGACTTCATTGAAGTCTTTCATTTCCTTCCATTTCCCCCAGGAAGTTGGATACAAGATTGTATTCTTCTTAAGAAACTTACTTGGCATGGAACTTAGCATGTGCAAGAAATCCCCACCCTAGCTTTTATCTTTTCTTTTTCTTTTTTTTTTTTTTTTTTTGGTTTTTGGAGACAGGGTTTTTCTGTGACTTTGGAGCCTGTCCTGGAACTAGCTCTTATAGACCAGGCTGGCATCAAACACACAGAGATCCACCTGCTTTTGCCTCCCGAGTGCAGAGATTAGAGGCATGTACAACCACTGCCTGGCTTTTTTTTTTCTTCCTTCCTTCCTTCCTTCCTTCCTTCCTTCCTTCTTTTCTTCCTTCCTTCCTTCTTTTCTTCCTTCCTTCCTTCCTGCCTGCCTGCCTGCCTTTCTTTCTCCTTTTTCTTTTCAAGACAGGGTTTCTCTGTAGCTTTAGAACGTGTCCTGGAACTAGCTCTTGTAGACCATGCTGGCTTCAAACTCCCAGAGATCTGCCTGCTTTTGCTTACAGAGTGCTGGGATTAAAGGCCTGTGCCATCGCTGCTCAGCTGCTTTTCGCTTCTCTACCTTCTACTTGTCCTATCTTCCTCATCCCCTGTGACCTTCACCATAGGACCCTGTCACCGTGTCAGGTCAGGTCACGGCTGTACTTAAGAAAGTGTTCTGGAAATAACTTTGCTATCTAACCCACCCATCTGCCTGAGTGGCTAGACCTACAAATTGCTTATCTCTTTTAAACTGTTCAAAGTCTAACATGGAGCATGAACACAAAAGACATGTAAGGATGATAGCACATGTGGAATGTAATCTCAGTTGGCTCCTCTTTGAGTATTAGGCAGAGATGGATGTGTACCATCATCAGAGAGATTTTTCTTTGTTAATCCTCTTTGTGTGAAGTGATTTATCAAAAGGAAGGTATATTGATTCTGTAAGTGTTGTATTCCATCCTGTTGGAAAACTGTGTTTGAGACAAGCTCTCTTAGGTTGATTTGGGTGACCTTGATTACAGTCTGTTGCACTAGAGAATGGCTGTGTTGTCCTCTATATTACACCTTCAAAATTCTTAAATTGCATGACTATACCATCTCAGTTTTAAAGTAATCTCTTTGAGTCATTTAGTCAGCTCTCCAGTGCAGTCACAGGAAAAGGATCCACATATGGAACATTGCTTCTGTCTTCTGACCAAAATAGGAGGAAAAATTTTTTTCTGTACATTGCAGGGGAAACAGGGTAGGCAACCAGCTCCTGGAGTCACTATTATGATAAAGGACTTGACTCTGGTCAGGGGAGTGTTTCTGTAATTTCCCAGCGTGTTTTAATTCATATCATGTGAATGAACACAGATCAGTGTGGGTGTACAATTTGGAAAGGTTATCTTGAGCCAATAAATATCGAAGATGTAATTAAGCAGAGATCCTATGCAGATATGTTCAGTCCTGCTTGACACAGTTATGTGAGCTCAGAGGTTTGAGGAACAGTCTTTTGATTTTAACTCTATGTGTCAGCTTACAGATCTCAGCAGACAACTTGTACATATGGGGAAAATCAGTCTATCTCTTATTAATGACATTCCCTCTTCTAGGGAAAGGCCTACTGTTTTTCAAAGTCAGTATACCTATGCTTACTAATCTTAAAAATACAATATTTTTATTATTTTAAAAATCACTTATTGTTACCAATTTTAAATTTCTCCTTTAAATGGATTCCTGCCTTTATCTCTGTTTTTCTTCTCCAATGTTTCTAGGTCATTAATACCTTCAATCCTTTTGTCTCAATTGATGTTGATTATTGATTTCTGTGTAAAGCAATATGTTATATAGTTTAGGTTTGCCTCATATTTTGTAATTGAGAATTGCTTTGAACACCTAACCTTGCCTCTTCTGCCCAGTGCTGGGAAGACAGTTCTTGCAAACTCCTTCCAAACTGGGCCCTCACTAGACAATGAAAAGAAAAATTAGACCAGTTCATATGTGACTTCCAGTCTCTTTATTTTTTGAGGGGACTTCTATGAAGAGGGACATATGCTCTAATTGAGTCACTGAAAACTTGAATCTTACTGAAGCTGGTCAGTAAGAGTGTAGAAAAGGAGAGGTAGGTAGGAGGGTGAGAGTTTTCTTGCTTCAACAGTAGTTGAGATTAGCAATGTGGAATTAAGTAGTCAATTTGAGATGCTGCGTAAATGTCCTGATTGGCTATTTCTTATGGTTCACAGAAACATGCAATTAAAAATCTGTATAAAGGACTGACCTGATCATGAGGCCAATTGTTACAGTTACAGTAGTTCAACCAAAATAGAAGATCTGGGTAAAATGTTGTGACCCTGCCTAACAAGCCTGTTATTTTTCTTGGTTAAGATGTGCATCTTTAGAGAATAGGACTGAGAACTCTTTGATATGCTCTAATCCCTTGTCAGGAACACATTGCTATAAAGTCTGTTTCAACATTTCAAAATTAATTTTGAGATTATAACTCCATCATATCCATATTCTCTTTTCTGCCTCCAAGCTTACCATGACCCCTTATACTTTTCTAATTCATAATCTCCTTTTCTTTAACAAGAGTTGAGTGTGGCCTGTGTTTTTTAGCAGGATTTTCCAGGTATGAGGCAGTGGGTTGGCTAAACTAGACATTGCAGGTATAATGGAATGTGCACACAAAGAACCCTGTGATTAGGATAAGGATCAGGATGTGCTGACAAGAGTAGAAGATAAGGCCCTGTCTATTGCACTGGAAGGTCAGAGCTAGAAGAATGTGTTGCCTGAGTCATTTGATCTTGGGTCACCCAGTAGGGGAGCTGCTAGCATTCTGAGGCACACCTGGGAGGCACTAACCAATGAGGAACTTTGGAGAGTCTGAGCAATCAGGATTACTGGTGATGCTTAATTTTCGGGTTCTTTCTGGGATTCCTCTCTGCTTTTGCTGGAGTGAGTTGTAAGGAAGACAACAAGCTGTACCTTGCTGAGTTTGGCATGTTCAGAGCAGGTCGGCTGTGCTGTCATTTCTGCTGGGAATTGGATGGACCAAGAGCCAGACTGATTATGTGTGGCCATGTGGTGACTTGGACAATGGCCCTTGTCCTGTGAACCTCCCTGTGTATGGATTTCCTGGGGAGTGGGAGACTCTGCAGCCCTGGAATGGGAGGATATGATGCTTGTAGTCCAGTGTGCACACATGAGCACTGCTTTTTGTGTGCAGAGGGGAGACAGATTGGAAAACTGAAGGTCTTCTTTCTAGAAGTTCTGAATTATGGCATTCAACTCTCAGGTTTCTCTCATAAATGTTACAAGTAGTTTAGAAACTGTTAGAAAGATGGTGATGGGATCACCTTTCAGCAATACATGACTAG